AGTGCCAGCTCTGGTTCTATAGTATCAGTGTTAGCTTGTCGGTTCAGGTTGAATATAATTAGGATAAAAGTACAAGCTACATTAATACCATGACTGAGTAATTCTCAGCGTGTACAACACAAACCTTTCATTATCTAAGAACTGTAAAATCCAGTAGTATAAAGGAACCTTGAAAGAAGAATCTAGCCACTAGGTACTGTCAGATTAAAGTAATCAGGACTGATTAGAAATATGACATCTGTGCTCTAAGTTCTGGGATTTGGTACAAAGCAGAGCTTTGTAGGGAGACCTCAGTGAGGGGGGATCTGTCATGTTCCAGCAGAAGTGAGGGTAGTGCACCTCTAATTAGTCTGACTGATTGCAAGCCTGGCTACTGTTCTGAGGGTGACTCATGCTCCCTAAAGGGTCATGGAATATCAAACCCTTATGCTTCTGCAATAGTTGGACAAAGCACAACAACAGTTAAGGACATTACTACTGAATATGCATGTGTATTCTGCACATGGAGTAAGTTTATGTAAACTTGATTTCTTTACCGAGTGACCAACAGTATGTCTGAACACTCTCTCACAGCTCCCTTGTTCTTCTTCTCCTTGTGGCAACCTCTTTTTCCAACTCACAGTTAGTATTTTTACATGTCTACATCAGACAGAACACCAGGAGCATCTTTGTTGTTTCAAGATAGAGACCACAGGTCTTAAGGATTTACTTCACAGGTAGTCAGAATATAGAATATCTTGCTGTAAGAAAATTACAGATTATCATAGAGTTAATGTGGCTACAGTGTGATTTGTTCACATTTCTACAATAAGCTCACTATAACTTTGTCAGCTAAAATATTCATTCCTTTTTGCCTTTAAACAAGACCCAAGTAGGGCTCAGACAAATGAATTTTTATCTTTTTTTGTTATAATGCAAAAATTGGATTGGCCAATTCACGTGCAGGATGCACTAAAACTATTGGAGCCTAACCATAACCTACTTTCTTGGATAATCTTCTATATACAGGTGTCTTTCTACTGTATTCCCCAGGCAAGATCAGTAACTACATTTGAAAAACCTTCTCTTGAAAACCCAACACGACTTAATCAGGCAAGCAAGGGGATGATTTGTTGAAGGTTATTTCACAGTTGGAGAAAGACAGGAGTCAGGCATCAAAAACATGACCTACACTCTCAAAATGCAAGTTTTGGTCTGCTCCCCAGATCCTGTGGTAACTTCGTAACTCACTGACACCATCTGGCAGTCATGTTGTTTGTAACAGAGTCAAGATTTTCCAATTCATTCCAGCTGAGATTCTCAAAGAAGCCAGCGGGAACAAGAACCGAACTGTCATTCAAAACTGGGAAGCCTGGAAAAGCCAGCTTTTCTTTCCTCAGCAGCAGATGAAAAATTTTTCTCCTTGGACAAACTCCATTTTCATCTGCTTGCCACAGAAGCAGTATTATTCATTTTGTATGCCGAAGTGTTTAGATAAAAGAAAGTATTGTTAAACAAAGACGAGGCTGCAAGATCTCACCAGGAAAACTAAAATCATGCATGAACTTTCTCCTCTTTGCCTCATTTTCCCTTTCTATTTTTCCATCTCTGACAGGAATTAAGTGGGAGTTTTGCCTTCATAAGTCCTTTCCATTCTCATCAAAGCCGTTGTCTTCATAGTGACTGTCTGCCTCAGCATTTGTGTTTTCACTGTTTACAACCAGAGAATCCTATGCTCTTCCTCTCAATTACATTCTAAAAACAAATGTAAACATGAACATTCAGCTGTTATTTTGGGAAAAGAAAGCTTTGTTGGCCTATCGATGTTTGAATGGAGAAGAGCATGGAAAAAAGAGGGATTAAAGAAAATGAAAGGAATGAAATGTAAATTTAAAAAAAGCCTGGGAAGTCTTTAATGCACTAAAAAACAAAACAAAACAAACAAAAAAAAAGATAAAAGAAAAGAAAAGGAAAGAAGGAAAAGGGAAGGGAAAGGGGAAGGGGAAGGGGAAGGGGAAGGGGAAGGGGAAGGGGAAGGAGAAGGGGAAGGGGAAGGGGAAGGGGAAGGGGAAGGGGAAGGGGAAGGGGAAGGTCAGCAATACAGGTTTGATTTCCCTTGCCCAGTGTGGTAAAAACCAAGAGCAGAAACTATATATCACATTACATGGGCAAGTTTGTTCCAAATTTTTGTCTGTGCCTTGGGAGCTCTCGGAGACATTAATTAGTTCCTTCTGCCATTCTCAAAGGGCTGCAGATCTGGCATTGCAATATATTTACACAGAATTTAAGTGAGGGCCCTACACAGTGAATGACCCAACTTTTAAAAATAATTAGTCCTTTTTCTAAACATTATTTAGGATCATTTCTAGATAACAGAACTGCTTCATGAACTCATATTCTCTCTGAATAGGCTGAAATATTTATTTTAATGATTCTGTTTTCTGCACACAGACAAGTTTATATATTAAAAGGCATCCATGATCAGACAAGTTTTTAAAAACACGTGCTTAAAAAATACCTAATCTTCCCCAACTGTGGTTTTGACACAACTGCAAGATGTTGTAGAAAGCTAATTAATTCCATAGCCCAGCAGATAAAACATCTTCAAGACCAAGCCAAGAACTGGATGGAGGAAAGTGAGGAAATACAAAGCTTTGAAACATTTGTTTGGACAGTATCTCTCTCCCTTGGTTCATGCACTAACCTTGACCTGTGTTATTATACACTGGAGAGTAGAACACTAAAATGAACCAAAGGGATCCAGAGGGAGGAATGGAGGGTAGGGAATAAGTAACTTGTAAACTTTATAAGCACACTTATGACAGATGGCTGAACATTTCTGAACATAGGCTACATACTGTTTTATGACTGTGCAACACCTTGTGTACCCTTGGCACTGAAACACTATGAATCAGTACCATCATTCAGGCAAATAAATAACTTGTAAATAAATTACTATCATTGGTGGATCAGAGAACACGTGTACTGAGTTAATCACATCCTGCAGAGACAGTCATATGCTGCAACACTAAGCACATGTGCATGCAGCACTCTAAAGAGAAAGCTGAACAATGCTACACGATTCAGCCATCTAATGCCTTTGCATCTTTTTATCCACTCACGAGGAAATGGCATTTTGGCAGAAAAAGTCTGGAAAATGCTATCAAGAAAACACACTGAGTGACTTGCTTATCTTTGCAAATACCAACTTATTTTGTCAACTGTTTTCCTTGCTATCTCTTTTTTTAAGCAAATAAAACCTGCCCATTTCTGTGGATGAAGGTGAAAGATGTCCCAGGTATGCTGATGGCCTGTGAGTGATGCAAATACCTTAAAATGTAATAAAGTTTTTGGCATGTCTGTTGATCCCACGGAATTCTTGTGCTTCAACTGTTTTGTCATTTTGGAAATCTGCATTTCTTCAGCAGACACTGGTGGCTAAGGGTTCTCTGGTTTGCAGTTTGTGTTCTTACTGTAAAATGAGGCTCTAAGCTACTGCTCTCCAAGGACTATCTTTCTTCACTGGCAATATTTCATACTGTTTGGCTGGACAGTAATTCTTCTCTCGCCTTCCTTAAAGCAGTGCTGATCTTGGTTTATTTGGCAGAAACTAGCCAGTCATTTCTGTTTTGCTAAAGTCTTGTGTCCTTCCTTTGTCCCTTGTCTCTCAAGAAACAACACAAACAGCTGATTACATGCTTTGTTACTGCAGCATTCATTACTTTTTGTGCCAAAGTCCTTGCATTTTAAATATTTGCTTTACTGGAATAGTGGGTTAAGAGAAGAGAGAGAGAATTAAAATCTGCCATCCTTGCAAGAGAAAAAAACAAAAGGCAGTAATGATTAGGGAGATCAATTAACAGCTTCCTCTTTGAGAATTCATTGTTTTGAACTTTCGTCCACTACCTTAATTCCCACAATAGTTTTAAAAAAATACTAATTGTGTAATTTTCTGTAAAAGTAGGTGCAAAAATAATCAGGACAATATTGTATTTTTGCATATTACTGGAGGCCTTTGACCTTGATTAGAGGCCTTGAACAAATAATGTCTTCATTTCCAGGAGAGAAAGAATATTTTTGTTAAAGTGACACACTGACAGAGAGTGCTTACACTCTTCATAGTTACTCTGTGTTTATACTAGGGAATCATCAGAACTCAATCAGGGTCAGCCCTGAAACTAAACATCAGTTTAATAAATTGTAGAGATTTACTTAATGCGGACAAAAGTCTGATGACTCTGTCATTTAATCAGCATGGAAGGTTGACTCATAGCACTCACTTACTGATAGCTATAGCACAGACATAGCATGTAGAGTACAATGCCAAAACCTCCTCTTTGGCTATTCAGCTTTTCAAACACAATCAGTTTTCACACTTGTATTTTCTACTGGCTTCATTCACTAGCACATCTGATCTCTATTAAAACTAAATCCATTCTGAGGACAAAAAGGGAATAGTGTTTAATACAGGAGAGTGCTGCAGTCAGCTGTGCAATAAACCCTGCTTTGATCACGTGTTCTTGATTATTAATATGGAACAACAAAGCAGTCAAGATGTTTCATATGCTTCCATAATGCTCTCTTGCAAGTTTCCTCATTTTTTCTCTGTTTTCATTCTTCCATTCATTGTTTCTTTCAGTAATTTTTCTCATAGTCTGCTGGATGCATGCAAGATCTTCCAACGTACCTCTTACCTAGCAGCTTAAAAGACACTGCTATGTAAGAAATTCTACTAGTTACTCCATTTTGTGATCAGATTCATAGAATTGGACTGTAGAGTGACAAAAATGATGGACTGGTGCATCTTTCCAGATACGCTTCAGAACAAATATATATGTTCTTTATGCAAATATCTTTATGCATTGCAAGTATTTCAACACATTCAATCAAAGTAACTTAACAGCCCCACCGTATTTTGTAGAGAGACTCAAAGTACATAAACTGCATTTGTTCAAGGAAGTCAGGCAGCATTTTTCCGCTTACGCAATACTTTTGGAGAGAAAAGTGCAACACAAGAATACCTGAGAGTGCTTGGAGACCCAGTGACGTAAGACATTCAGGACACGATTAGTGGCTGCTCTGCGTATTATGAACTCTTTGTCACACATGCGTTCAGAATTGCTAAAACCTATGAGGAAAAAACACACACATAAGAATTAAAATTAACAGAGGTATTACATTTCTTCAAATCCTGTATTTGTAACTGCTAAATAGAAGGCTTACTTGAGCATTTGTGAGTAATGAAAAGAAAGCTTGTATTTCAAACACGATCATTTAGACCACTGTAATTATGCAAAATCAGTACAATATCATATAAGCCCATCATAGATAATACAGATATCTACTTGGTTTACTGTTCAGCTTCAGAAAGATGGAGAGTATTGGCTTGAAGACAGGTCTCTCATCAGTATGAAAGAAACAATACAAAACATGACTAATCTAAAAGCAAACAGAGCCTGTGGTCAAGCAAGCTATATAAAGCGAGTGTGATTTAGAAATTGGAAAGTGGTACATCATAGATGTGGTACATTGTAAGGAATCAGAGAAGGATAACAGTTTAAATACAGAGGAGAAAAAGTTCAGCACAAGAAATGTTCCTCCCTTCATGAAAGCATGTCCTCCCTTCATGAGAGCACTGTACAGGGCTCTACTAGTCAACAGCACATACAAACAGCTTATTTTTTTTACCACTGTAGTAACAAGAAGGTGTGAAGGTATACAGAAAACACATTTACATACTGAAAGAATGATGTGCCAAACACAGCACTTCCCCACACATCTTATAATGTCAACTTTTTTTTAGTCATCAATATTTACTCATCCAGAAATATTTTTAAAAATCACAGAATCATGGAATTGCTCAGGTCCAACCACAACTTAACCATACGCATACATAACCTAACTCTTAACAGCTCTCCTCTAAATCATGTCCGTGAGCACCACATCCTAACAGTTCTTAAACACATACAGGGATGGTAAGTTTCCTATTACATTCACAGCATTGTTTCTTGCCTGTCTAGTTTTGTTGTAGCTGTATATTACTAATAAAATGATGATATTAAATACTTCTATTAATAAAAAACAAAACAACAACAAATGATAACTGACAAAACTCTTCAGAAGTTAATTTTTCTCTAGGTTTCTGTTGGATTTGATCTTACACTACATTGTTTTCCATTTCACACAGTGCAGAGTCCAGGAACAACTGGAAACTCCCTTACATATGGATCAGCGCTTTGCAATTTTTTTTGGCATGAATGCTGTTCTGAAGCCTCTATATTATTAGAAAGAGCAAAGGGGTGCATCTGTTTATTCTGTGAAAAGAACATTTGAGGTGTTCTCAGAGTCTAGTATTAGCATTATACTATTTTTATCACAGATATTTAATATATTCAGTCCAAAAAACTAAACTGCTGTTCTGCATTTCCAGACAGAAGGAAAAAAAAAAACATAAGTGTAACTGCAATAACGTATTCTTTACTACAGGCTGAACCCCAAACAGATTCTCTATCCTATTTCATGGACGCATGCTTTGAAGTATGGCATATGACACTGTAGTTGATATCTATGACTCAGTACTGAAGGAATTTTCATATTAACACATCTTCAGGAGTTTCATTGCCCATAAACAGCAAAGTAAACAAAATCTCTGAGGCTTTACTTAGTAAAAGGTAACCTAGGCAACATTTTGTGTGTTAATTTTCCATGCTTTTCACAGTTAACCTCTTGCAGAAGCAATTAGGCATACACATTATAAACTGCTCAATTAGCCACTTGATTGCAGCAGTGAAAGTCACAATGAAAATTATGTATTAAAGCAGCAGAGTCTCCATGAAAGTAACATTAAGGAAAAGAAGTTTTGGTAAGCTGAAAGGAAAAAAGGAGAGATAACTACAGAAACAGTTTCAAGCTAGCTGCAAAAAAAAGAATAAGAAAAGGAAGAAAGGAAAAATGTAAAGCCCCAGGGATCACTCAGCAAACTTCTATGGTTCTCAGAACTTCATCAATTTTTAATCAGTAATTAGCTTTAATGGAACCTAAGCAACATATTTAGTCAGATCCACATAATCAGTAGCTAATGTTGATGGCTTGGCTGGATACACAGAGATGCCCAGTTGTGTATGAAGAGAACTTTGGTGACCAGAGATGTGCAGGTGCAGAGGTGTATTTAACTCCACGCGTGTTAACTCTGTACAACTACAGGTACAAGACTTCAGATAAATAGCTATGTAATGTATTTGTTCAAAACAAAACTGAAAATCTACTGATTTCGTAATCACTTTGTTTTTAAAAACCAAACACATCAAAATGCCAGGATGTGCTTCTCTTTCCACAAAACATTTATGCTTGATCATTCTTTCTGAAAAAAGGAACCCCAAAACATTTCAGGAATGCTTTCTGTCACAGAACTAAATCTGCCAACTGATTTTGAAGAAGACTTTGTTTATAGTATTTTCTTCTGGACTCTCAAAAATTATCTGGAAATGTGATGCATTACACAGTTCCCAAAACGAGCACCAGAGATCAGCATCTTCTATCTAAGACCACAAAGACATGCAATAAAAATTGTTACACCACTACCCTGGCCTGTTCCTTGCCTACAGTAGTTTCCTTCCACCTTGCACTTTTCAATACTCAAACATGTTTTGGTGTAAAATGCCTGGTGTAAAAGTTGGCCTGGGGAATGGACAGGTTTCTGCTGTCTGTACTAACAAGCTTTCACTGCACCTTCACTTCACATACTTGCTTTCTCTATTATAGTATATTCTCACATACTCTCTTTCTCTATTTCTATTTTATAATTAATTATATCCTTGAAAGCTTTCAAAAAAAATGTGTAAAGCATACTATGCAGGAAAAGACCTCCTCTGGTTCCACTCCCCATCCCCACCCTCCATCCCCAAACAGAAAATAATAAGGACTAAATGGTATGCTGGAATAACTCAAAAGTCATGGCTAGTATTGTCACTGTTCTTTGTATACGAGGAGATATTTGCTTCTACAAAGATGTTTGGCTTTACCATAGTGTTCTCCTTCTCAACCTGTTTTGAGTAACAATAGACCTTAGCTAGGCTCCACACTTGGTAGCTTTGACAACAACACAGCAGAGTCAGACCTTAAAGTAAAACCTTAAAGTAAAATGCTGGAGAACAACACACCAGGACCTCCCTGATGCAGCCAAGGTTGGAGCAGGCAAAGTTGGTGGGACTTGGATTGTTCAGAAAATGAAGCCTCTCTTCTGTGAAAATACTCCCAGCTGTTTCTGCATAGATAAGGAATGAACAGCAAGCAGTTCTGGACAAAGGGACTGGGGTGACCAGACATTCTGGTCAACATTGAGGACCTGCTCTACAACAGAGATGCAAATGAAGAACTGTCCTTCATGAAGGATGGAGACGTGCCAGTCATCACTGACCAGTGTGCTCAGATGTCCAGAAGCAAAGCAAATTATCTTCACTAGGTCTACCACCAGAAGTGAGAACTTTTTGAATGGTGTTTAGCACACCACTCATTCTTAGCTTTTCAATTCCAAGCTAACTGATAACTGAAATGGGAGCTAGAGACTGCCAGCAGATGGTAAAGATGGTTACCATCCACATCATTAACATGCCCATCAAGCACAGATTAATTAGATTGTACTTAAAATTCTAAGTTTTTTTAGTAACTGCTAGATAAACTTCAGTGACTATATACATGAATTTTCCATTACAATCATAGACAAAAGCTATTATTATTTTTATCTACTCACCTATACTTCAGAAGAGATAAGTGTAAAGATATACATAGATAGGTATCAGCAGACCTATTCAAAACTAATATGACAACTCCCTCCTAGACAGTACAGCAACATCCTAAACTAAAAACACCCACCATTCAAAATGCTGGACTGTATTATTCCCAATGCTAAGAGAACTCTGATGCACTGTCAGACTAAATAAAAGCTGGTGAATACTGACTGTGAAAGCAAAAGAAATTTCATTAGTTCTCATAGTTGCTAAATAGATCTTTTCATTAAAAAGAATGTGAGAATACATAAGAAATACAGTACTCAAGAACAAACAAATTGGACAGAAGTATGGTGTTAATTTTAGGAATATTATAAAACTCAGAAAAAAATAGCAGATGTAGGAACTGTAAGCAAATAAGATCACTAAGCACTGCTACCTTCTGGTCTTCTAACTTTGAAAGGAAAGGTCTAAACAAAACACAAAAGAAAAAACAACAAAAACTTATTACCACAGCAAAATTAATATAAAAGGAGAAACATGCAAAGAGAAGTTCTTGGCCAGCATTCTTTTTTTCCCACTTTCAAAGCCATGTGGTCTGTGGAAAAGAAAGTACCAAAGATAGCCACAAACAGACGTGACTGCTAAAGGTAACCCAAATTCTACCTATCCTTCAATCCTGACTACTTTTGAACACATGGTCTAGCAGGAACTGCATGTCACCTACTGCAAAAAGCAGGTGAGAGCCAGAACCTTGCAGGGCTACACAGTATTTGCTTTTTCTTGTCTATATACAAGCATAAATAGAAATAATATCTTCTGAGAGACAGTGCAAAGCATGCAATACAACATTTGAGACTATAACTCCATTGCAGCAGATTAAAAGGTGCACTTACAACAAAGAAGCAATTCCACTACCAAAGAGCTTGCAATCTTAGCAAATTAACAATCCAGAGCAGCTGCTCAATATGGACAAATGGGAGAGAACAATGGGACTGAGGGAAAGTGCCAATAAGGCTGACAGGCAGACTTTGCTGAACAGCAAGGCGACAATGTACTTACTATTAACAGAACTGTTTCCAGGTGACGTAACAAAAAAAATATGGTATGCAGAGAAGCAACACAGAAACGTGGCGCACAATTTCATCCACTTTATGGAAGTCAATGGCAAAAATAGATCACTAATTTTACTAAGCCCCTTTGCTCATTAATCACAATTTTTTCACTCTGCTAATGCAGAGTATAAGAGGCTGGAAGAGATACATAGCCTCTGTCACACACACTGCCCAGGATTCTTAATTGAAGCACAAACCTTTATGGGTCTGCAGATGTATCAGCTAAAAGAAATGGCACTGAACTAAGACTAGACTTGGGAACCAAGAGAGGCTTCAGCTCAGATGCT